TGATTTGGTGTTTGAGAGCTTAAGTCAATAGTCCCATTGGAGCAGATAAATTCCCGGAGCTCTGCTATCATAATCTCAATCAATAGCCGTCCGTGATGAAGGAGTCCAGTGTACATATTGAAACGGGCCATGTTTGCGCAGATAAGCCCGTACAGTAGGCCTGTCTCTCCGGGGTTCGGCGGCACTTGCATGAAGCGCTCGAGTCCGATGTTTGCTTAGTTAAAAGATCATGTCTGCTGACTGAATCCAAACGGCCACAGTATTAACGGGATAATGCGATAATCAAAGAGCTCTGATACTGTGTACAATGCACGTCTTACTCTGTTTATCCAGTGCTTGTAACTGCTCTGTCAAACGCTGCTTATTCATTATTTGCCACATTGTTCGAGCTCATGGATAACCGATAGCCTGCCTTCTGGAATATGACGGAGTGTCACTCGGATTTGTTGGGCAAATAACAGCTGACTAGTTCCACGTACAGGTCTGTTGACACTGGCTTTTCTCAACAGCACTGTTGAATAAACGTACACAACCTCAAATGATCCCAGTCAGCGCAAACGACACGTAAATGATCCGAACGTGATGCGCAACAATTGGCCTACTAAAAAAGTATGTTTCTGTTAATTTCAGATTTTAAGCAAACTCTTTGGTAAGGCTTATAATAGTTCCTAAATTTTTCAATGGATTTTGTGTAAGCGGATCTTGTTATGGAGTCACAAAATGGATGCAGTGAAGGTAAAAAATATATATATAATAATAAATATATATATATATATATACCATGTGTGTATGTGTGTGACTTTTGCTATCTCACAAAACTTTTGTGTTCCAGGCTCCAGCAAGGGGAAAAAATGGCATTCGCTCACAACTGGAAATAATATGTTACATATATTTTTTCTTTGGAATATAACATATACTGTATATATATATAAGAACTTTTCACAGTGCATGCCAAGATGGAACAGCATAACTAAAACAAATGTTTAGCTTAATAAATTTTTACAAATTTGATAATCACTTTGGGGCTTCTTTTTTTTCTTTTTATCTTTTTTTCATGTATGGCAGACATCATGTGGTGTTGTATGTTTTTATTATTTTCTTTTATCCGGACGATTTCTTTCCTAAAACGTTTTGTTTCTAAAGAAAAAAACTATAGGCTATGTTGTTTTTAGTGTGCTTTATAAATACAATTATTTATTTATTGATCAAGAACTTTTCACAGTACATGCCAAGATGGAACAGTATAACCAAAAATTATTCATATAAAGTCAACTCGTAGTAATAGGATGCAGAAACAATTTGTTCTGTTACTGGCTAAACATTATATATGGTATAAGAAAAAAATCAATCCGCATCTTATTCTTTTTAAGTCCAAACTGGAGAAAAAGACGCTCATTTATTTACTTTTTCATCTGAACTAGCTCTGCTTTTCTCTTTGCAATGCATTTTGATTGTTCAAGTGATAGTTTAGTCAAATAGAGTAGAAAACGAGTCATTAAACGGTGAATTTAAAGTGTGCAACCAGTGGACTCCTACTTTCCCATAATGCCATGTGAGCTGAAAGTGTAAGGTCCGCGCACCTGGTCCAAGGAAGGTATCCAGTGGCGGATGAAGGTCTCTTGCGTGTTCGGTCTTTTCAGCGCGCAGAGTTATTCAATTTAGGTTTAACTCAATCTGACTCCATTTTAGTATCTGAATTCTAATTTAGGTTGAAAGGCACATTGGTTGTTTGTCGGTCTCTGATTATTCTTACATTCGATTATTCTAATTAACTCTTTACTTTGTATTTTTTTCTCGTTCATTAGGAATCTATGTCGCTTAGGATGAAAATAAAAAAAATGACAGAGAATTGTAAGTAGAGCATCTCTCAAATAGAGTGTTTCCTCGTGGTTAATTTACTTGTTTAACAACAACAGAGAAAGTATTTACGTGGTTATTGTTAGTATGTCAATGTGACCTACAGGTTAAAGGACAATGCTAAGATGACGGATGCAAATGCCCAGGAAAGGGCACATTTAGGGAAGTACATTGAATTCAGTACATACTCTAAAATGGGAATTCAGCATACTAGCACTTTACTCATTCCATCTGTGCCTCTTTTCTTTTATACAGTAGAAACAGTGTGAATAGTAGGCTACAGTATGCTAGTAGGCCCATGCTATTTCTGAATTCAGCTCATGTTTTTAAATTGAACTGAAAACACAAGTGAAATTGTGCACTCTAGTGGTAGAAATAAAACATTTTTATTAAACAGTTCATTAAATGTGACTGAACACTCTCAGGAATATATCCGTGTTATTTTAGTGTCATTGTTAAATTAATAAGTTATTATATAAATTATATGTTTTGTCATTTTTATAAATTTTTATAAGGCTGCATATTTTTGAAATTATTTTTTTTTATTAGTTTTAGTTATTTTAGTACTTCAAGTTAAATTAAATGAAAATGAGAAATGTTTCCGGCAGTGTTGGGGGTATAATGCAAATTATGTAATCAGATTACTTTCCCCAAGTAACTAAAGTAACACATTACTTTCAAATTTACAACAAAATATCTGAGTCACTTTTTCAAAGTAGTAACAAAAGTTACTTTGTTTTCCATTAATTCTCTGACAGCTCTCCTGTTTCCATGTTGACGCACTTCCTTCAGCCTGAGGCTTATTCTTTTTTTTTTCTTCTTTTTTTTCACAATTGTGTTGTGAAAGGGCACTTACAGTTGCCAAAAATATAACTTTTGGGTTTTTTGTTATTAAAAAAGACAAATACGCAAGCCTGGCAGGTGACAAAAAGTAATGCAAATGTAATGTAATGCATTACTTTTCATAAAAAGTAAGTAAGTAATGTAATTGGATACTTTTTTATGGAAGTTAGTTAACTTTTATTTCTATTAAAACATTTTATGATTTTAATTTAAGTTTTAGTTAATGATAATGACCCTATCTGCAGCAGATGTAAAAACATTATTTATTTATTTTTTGCATGTTATATGTTGCATACAACAATCAGCTAACCAAAAAGCGTTCGTTCATTCTCGGTATAGTTCTCTACTCACTAAATACTGTTTAAATACTGTTTAAACCAAAACGTCCAGACACACAGCAGATGAGACATCTTCTAGTCCTTTATTCTGTCCTCTGCTGTTTAACAGCTTCTAAAGCTCTTTTCTCCTCGACAGACTGTGAGCTTTCAGGAAGAATGGAAAGGTGAGCCTTCAAGGTAGCAGATTTTTCCAAGAAAGTCCAACACTTGGGGAAACAAGAGAAGCAACTGCTATCTAACAGTACACATGAGGCCCAGACACACAATGGAGACGCTGGTCCTTGAAAAACTCTGGCGTCTTTCCAAAGGCCCGGATCTGCTCAGGAGCGATTGATGGGAATTTGGGAGACACAATGGAGCGGCGGATTGGCTTTAACTCTCACCTGCGTAAATGAACCTGTAGAGGTCAGATTCCAGCTGCTGCTGAGCCGAATAACACCAAAACCAGCATTCATGAGTGTTATTTCCATGACTGCATTTACATGCATCAGGATTATGTGGCTTTCAGAATTGAACTGAGGATGCTTTCAATATGCCTTTTAGAAGAAGAATAGGGAAAAAATGTATAAAGTGCGGTTTTAAATACATTTTCAGTATGAATGACCCATAAACGTCATTGTGCACATAGCGTTGTTACTGTAAACTACAATAGAAATAGAAATGTGTGAATATATATATATATATATATATATATATAT